AATTCAGCTAAAAATTCATCATTGTTTGACCTTTAACTACTTCAGCATACTTTCAGCTAGAAACACCATTCAACTTTTAAAATGTTTCCGTATATTTCTGCTATTACTGTGCAACTCAGCTTTTTGCTAACTTTTACAGTTTTGCTTCAGCGAAGCTTTAAACCTTAAAAGAAAATTTTAAGATTTTCAGATTTATAATGGAAGTCTATGGAAGGAATTCTTCTACTGCTAGAGTGCGTGCTCTAGCTTTTGAACTGTTCTGGTTTTTCTGAACAAATTGTTCTCACTTCCTAATTTTTTACTCAATTAAAATGATTCAGGAAATCTAATCCTCATTTGTGTGGGATTTACGGTTTTTCTGCAGTTTGGACCAGACCACGAAGAAGTCCACACTTCCCCAATAGAAATCCAATGAGAGAGTTTCCAAAAATCACAGACAAAATCCAAAAGGATACATATTTTCGTATCGCTCCCATTTCTAAACTGTTTTATATACAAACATGAAACTTGGTATAAAACATCTTCAGATCCTTCTAGCACTCACATTGATGGAATTTTTTCAATATCATTTATGGTTTAGCCGTTTAGCTGACTTGTTCGAGCATTGGAAAATGATTCTGAGAAAAATCCTCATACTCAGAAAAGCACATTTTTACATAGTCACCATGGCCAAATAGTTTTTAGTAGAAATATGAAAGTTGGGAGAGTCGAAGCCGAAGGATGTCTGACGCCAACAGTGAAAGAATTTTTTTAATACCTTTTACGGTTTTGGCTCACTACTCATTTGTTTGGAGGGGTTTTTCAGCAGCTGAAAGCTCCGTGAATCTGAGGTGCTGCATGTAATCCAATGAGACAAGCCGGTGTGACAAACCATTATGTTTGTCTTCCCATTAGGGTTGTGAAACAGCTACAGCCATGAAAGTTACCCCAATCGGAGACAAGGGATAGCTTACGCTTATACTAAAATAATTTTTTAGATACCATTTACGGTTTCTCTTCAGCATTTGTTTTTTCTCGGCTGTTTTTCCCATTCAAAAAAGCCTGAGAGCAAAGGAACGATAATGCTGCGCTTCTCTCTGTCACTGACAGGCTCGTTAAGCGTTGTCAAGGAAACCGAGCTTCAAAGGGATTGTACCTCTGCCACTTTATACAGCACTTTTTAATCTAATGGAGGGAGACAACACTGATTTAACATTTGGAAATGGATACTATATGACTACTGGCCATGACCCTTCCCTTCACACACAACCCTGATAGACTTTCAAAATAAGACTCCGGGGACCCTNGAGTGATTTAATGATTGGAAAGTCATCAAGTATCATTGCTGGGTCTGACCCTTTTCTCAACACACAACCCTGCTAGACTTTCAAAATAAGACTCCAGTGACCCTACAAAATAAAAGCCTCTATATTATACTCGTGTATTAATTGATGCAAATGGCTCACCATTATGACCCAAACTCCACCAGCTTGTTTTTTTAGACTCTAGGGACCTTTTCAAAAACACAACCAAGAGCAAATTTCACAATAAAAGTCTCCCATTTAGACTCTAATACAGCATCTATTCACCCATTAACATGGGAAACCAGTTATTTTAAATTTTGAAATGGATTATATATCACTGCTGGGCATGTCCCTTTCCTTGACACACATCCATGGTAGAATTTCAAAATAAGACTATAGGGACTCTACAAAATAAAAGCCTCCTCCTTATGCACACTCATTCATTGTGCCATATGGTCCATATCTATGACCCAAACTTAACCAAATTCTTTAAATTACACTACCAAAGCCTGTTGACAGCACACCTTAGTCCACATTTCTTAATGAAGCTCTAACATTTCCACTGTAATAACCTAACCTCGTAAGCAGATGCTTTACTTCTGTCTACTTCCTGGTTAACAGATACTTTTGGACTTTTTCTTCTGGTTAATAAACTTTTTACTAAAGGTTTTGCTTTTAAAATGAGTGTTTTTCTGCCATTATTCTGCAAAATGATTCTACCCTACAAAATCTTCAGATGATTCTACTGTTTTCTGCTGTTTGAAGTTTCTGATTAGTTCCTATCACATTTTCATATGTTCTTCAGCTAATTTCTGCTTCCTTTCCCTGCAGTTTCTTTAGCTATTTTTTCTTTTTTCATTCAGCATAAAAAAGCATTCCCACTTTGCTGTTTCTCCGAAACAGCTTTTTTCTAGTTTTGATTGAAATCTTTTATTTTTTTAATTTTCACTCAAATATTTGTAGTTTTTAATTTTTTTTTCCTTCAGTTTTTTTTTTTTTTAAGTAAAATAAAATGATTTTGAACAAACATAATTTACCCTATGTAGCTCCATAAATATTCCTCTAGCTTTGGGGGAAGGTGTGGAGGTGTACAAGTCTACAGACCAGGTGGACAAACATGTGAGGGAACGATACCTATGAAGCCTCATTAAGATCAGCCCATTAACTCAAGGATACTTAACTGAAGTCTCTTTCGCATCATTGATTTCTTTTTGAAGAAAACATTGGGCGTCTCTCCTTATGTTTACATTTCTTTAATCGTACACTTGCGTACTTTTGAAATTAAGTACTGTTACAGTCATAAGTATGTAATAAAAGAAGGCTTAGAGTAAACAAAGTTATCAAATATAAGAGTTAAACTTAAAAATTTATTTCAAGATGTTTTCGGGGGAGAAAGTAGACCTACAAATTTCACCAATCAGTCAATCAAGAATGAGCCAACTTTAAAATTA